TTGTTCCAAATTTATAAAGATAGATGGCAAAAAATATTGAAATAATAAATTGGTTGTCGTGATTGTGATTTAGGTACGGGAAAACGCAAGGTAATGATACTAGTAGCTATTGTTGCAGCCGAAGCAGCAGTTCTCAAACAAATAATATAAAATTAATTATTTTCTCTCACAACGTAAATTTTTGTTTTATACAAGGTGATTCTTTTAGGTTCTATATTAGAAACTTTTTAATTTCTAATGCAGATAGAAATTTGAAATTTTGTACACAACCCAAATCAACCAGTCTGAGTTCAACTAAATTATTTTCAAAATGGCTGAACTTCCGGAACTACGAGAAATTGGCGCCAACTTTGAAATTTTAAATGGTAACCAATTATTTTTATTGCATTTTTGAATTCTCCTCTCCAAACTGAGTAAAATGTACCTAGTTGTTAGTACTTATCTATCATAGTTTTTGACATATGTCAATTTTTTGCTCAAAATTTTCATTTGCAGAGGTTTATTAAAAACATCACAGCTCTTGAACCGTTTGCAATAAGTAAATAATTTTTCTTGCATTTGATATCCAAAGGTTCGAAGAGTTTCCTAAAATTTTCAAAATTGTCAACTGTCAAATTGCAAAGCTTATATGATTTTTTGAAAATGATATGTAACAAACAGCTATAACTCAGTTTTTTCAAATAAAATGACCCCATTTTCTCAACGGCAACCGAAAGTACGTCGATTTGTAGAAGGACTTTTATCAACATGTCCTATATCCATCTCTTACAGTTTTTGAAATAATCACGAAAAACGTGGTTTTGTTTTTTATTTTTATAGTAAATCACGTAGCCTTTGGAAAATGATCAAAACGAATTAAAGATTTATTAGTCTACACAACACCCATACGGAATTACAAAGAATTGAGGCGGCATTTAATAATCTTCAACCAAATGAACTAATGGAAGCCACTCAAATCAGTTCACCATCGAGTTTTGGACTGTTTAAAAATGGTAAACATATCGAACATCTGTATTAATTATAAGTATATCTTATTGTATTTTTCCAAAGCCTACGTGATTAACTATAAAAATAAAAACATTAACATGTTTTTTGTGATTATTTCAAAAACTATAAGAGATAGGTATAGGACATGTTGATAAAAGTCCTTCTACAAATTGATGTAGTTTTGATTGCCGTTGAGAAAATAGAGTCATTTCATTTGAAAAAACTGAGTTAAAGCTGTTTGTTAATGATCATTTTCAAAAAATCATACTAGCCTTGCAATTTGACAGTCAACAATTTTGAAAATTCTAGAAAACTTTTTGAACCTTTGGTTATCGAATGCAAAAAAACATATTCACTTATCGCAAAGGGTTCAAGAGCTGTGATGTTTTGAATGAACCCCTGCAAGTGAAAATTTTGACCAAAAAATTGACATATGTCAAAAACTATGATAGTTAAGTACTCACAACTAGGTACATTTTACTTAGTTTAAAGAGGAGAATTCAAAAATGCAATAAAAATAAGTGAGTACCATTTAAAATTTCAAAGTTGGCGCCAATTTCTCGTAGTTCCGGAAGCTCAGCCATTTTGAAAATAATTTAGTTGAACTCAGACTGGTTGATTTGGGTTGTATACAAAATTTCAAATTCCTATCTGCATTAGAAGTTAAAAAGTTTCTAATGTAGGCTCTAAAAGAATCACCTTGTATGTATAGCGTATTAGTTGTCTTCTGCCGTGAATTTTATTTACTTTTCCTATAGTTTTTATCAAAATTTGAAGATCTTCAGTTTAATCCCTTCCAGCAAAATGGTTTCCATTAAGTTTGATTCGTTTTTCTTAATATTTTTTCAAAATTTATAGACATGGATCGCAAATACAGAGTGGTTATAAATGATTTTCATCTAGCCAGCTGTGAATTTTCCATGTAAAATAAAAAATGCCGCTTTACGAAAATAGGGGTACCTACTTGTTTTAACTCAAAATTAAAAAATCGACTAAGCGTCCACTTCGAAAATAGACTTCAATTATAAACTTGTTTTCTTCCAAAGTATACATTATTATCAATTATTATTGGAAATTAGTTGAAACAATAATAATTTAATTAACAACAATTTTTTATTAATTAATAAGTGACACTAATGACAGAACTAGAGCTTTCAAAAAAGTAGAGCGGCACAAATAAAGTTACATGTAAAAAAATCCAAAGCTGGCTAGATGAAAATCATTTATAACCACTCTGTATAAAAATAATAAATTGGTTGTCGTGATTTACGGCGAAACACAAGGTAATGATACTGACCATTGCTGCAGCTGAAGCAGCAGTTCTCAAACAAAGACCGTAAGCACCCTGTATAGCCTCGCATTTATTATTTCCCTCAATGCTACGCATCTCGGGTAATAAACAGCTCGGTTATAAAAGTCTCTTCTCTACTTTGTGATAGAATATACTATTTTGCAAAGAGTATTTGAAAATAAGGTCACCATTACCGGCGACAAGTTCTGCAATTTTTGCCTCAAGTCGCGCATTCACCAAAGGTGCACAAGTACCAATTTGTGAGATGTAGACCATCTCTCCTCAAACTCGCTCAAACGGTCATAAAAACCGACTAATTCTTACAATTATTATTCCCAACGTATCTTATTAGAGTAGGCAAATAGAAAGCATCACTTATTTGGTGGCACACTTTGTGCTAAAAAATGAAAATAGTTTTCTCAAGTTTTAGAAAAAATTGTGTATGGTGGCCGTTAACTGTTTATTCGGTATTGTAACTCAAGCCGCCCACGCGCATCCCGGATTAGCCAACAACTTCATCTATCTCTTGGTGTTGTTCGGGTTCGGCATCCACAAACACACGACTCACTTCCTTACAAGATTAGATAGCACTCGCGCGCGAGTTTCTTTTTCTTCATTAGTCAAACGTCAAAATTACAAAGTGCGACACGCCAAGCTGCGCCCCAACAACAAACACCTTCTAAGACAACTGTCGTGCAAGAGAGCAACTGGAAAACGTGTTTCAAACAGGAAGCGATGTTTCTTCAACTTTGTTAATTGCTTTATTTATTTACTTATTTGAAAGGAGACGATCCTTTACATGGATTGAGAGACAAATAAAGAGACAATAGACCTGATATTTTACTCAACACGTCACACTTTTGAAGATTAATTGACAAGTCATGTCAGAGTTTAGCACCATCTGTGCTTCCACTACGCAAATACTCAACCAAATAAAAGAAACAGCACAAAAATTGCATTTTTACTTTCCTTATCTTACAAATTAAAAATGTAAAGTTTTCTTCGTAAAAATAAGCTTGAGTGTAATTCGGTAAGACAATTTAATGAATAGGTACGTAAATCACTTAATTAACAAATAAGGTGCAAATTAGTTTATTTAATTTAATGGAAAGTACAATTATTAAAAACACAATTCAAAAGTTTCAAAAGTTAGGTTCCGTTTTGTCGCTGTGGGGCAAACTTTTGTCGCTGTCATAGTGACAAAAACACCGCGGCTTATGGGGTTTTCAGTGTATGAAAAAAATTGTCAAGAATAACATTTTTCGATTTTTTTGTTTTTCTTTTTGAGTTCTATTTTAAATGGCAACCCATTAAAAACATGTTTTGTATACTCCCAAAAATAACTGTGTTAGAGACTATCTACTTTTTATTAATTTAAAAAAAAATTACATAAATTACAATTTTGACAAAAAATCGCATAACTCAAAGCAAAACAAAATTTCGTTTTGAAATTACGATCAGATTTTTTATATTACCTACTTTATTTATATTAATTATTATTTTCCAGAGGCAAATAATTTAAAAAAAACCGTTTGGTTCTAAACTTCATATTTACCCTGTATAAAATGAATTTAAAAAGGAAACACTCAGCAGGATACTAGTTCTTTGAGTTCGGCTTACGAATTACTGGTTGTTTTCTCTTTAACATATTTTGCAATTGGATCATTTTTCTTAAACTGGCCAATTTTTAACTTGAACTGAATTTTTTAATCGGAAATTTGTGATTTGAAGAAAATACGCACAAAAATGCATTATTTCCTAAAATATGCATGAAGTTGCCAAATTATGCAAAATATGCATTTTTTAATTGGCTTATTTTAATCAAAAAACTTTAGATATGCATAGAAAACTTACAATTTTGTTGATATACCTCTTAATAACAAATATGCATTTTGCATATAATCCGAGCCTTATTGAAGAATTTGAGATTGGAATTGGAATTGTGTCAAAGTGCTCTGTTTAGATTATTTATTCATTGTTGCAAACCTAACATACAATTAAAGGCTACTTTTATGATATACAGATTTTATATTTATACAGAGAAATAATAAACAAAATTTACAGTAACTCGTACCGTTCCTGAGAAATTTTCGTAAAAGCTTTTTTTATTGAAAGAATTACAAAAAAAGAGAATATACCTAAAATATACTTATTTGAGTATTTAATATAATTCGTTCTACAAAGTTGGTAGCAGGGTCAATGACCAGTTAGTGTCAATTCTACTGTTAAACTTATCGAATTTCAAATTCCTCGTCGCTACTATTTACTCAGTGTCGCAAACTTAACTTGAGATGGTGCACAGAAATACAGGGAGGTTTCGAAATCATGAGCAAAATTTTACAGTAATTTGTACTGTTTCTGAAAATTGTATTTTTTCATACAAAGTTTTATTTGTTGAATAAATCACACAAAAAGGGAATATAACTGAAACACTTTGGTATCGGAAACAATTTCTTTTAAAAAGTTGGTAGCAGGGTCAATGACCAGTTAGTGTCAATTATATTATTAACTTATCTACTATCATTTCAATTGATCAAGTGTCCTATGACTTGAAATTAAGTTGGCAACATTGAAGAATGTGATATATTAAATGTGTTAATTTCATATATACTTTCTGTCTCGATTTTGATTTATTCAGTGTTGCCAACCTAACTTGAGAATTACAGGCACTTTTACGAGAAATTTTGTATACGGGGAGGTTTTAAAATCATAGGCAAATAACTTATTGTTATTATTTTTATTATCAATATTTTTTCTTGTAACGAAACTTAAAAAAACGCACAAGTAAATAAATAATTTTTTGAACGTAAAATTGTTAGAAAGTTTAATTTATTTCACCGACTGGCTTTATTGTAAGTTCATGGACCTGCAAAAATCACAATTGAAAACAGAATTAAACAAAAAATAATTATTGTTACTTGAACATGTTCTGGAGTAGACAGCGCATAAATAACCCCATCTGCAATATCCCCAGCTTTCAAAATAGGCATTTTTTCAAGATATGCTTTTCTCTGTGGTGGTTGATCTTTCCTCAACGTTGTCAATTCTGATTCTACTAAACCCGGACTAATACTCTAAAAACCAAGTAATGTAAGAAAATTGTTTCAAAATGAAGAACAAAACTTACGGTAATTTTAATTTTAAGACCCAAAGTGTTCAACTCTTGTCTCAAAGTCTCTGTCAGCGCCGTCACTGCATATTTTGAAGCTCCATAAACATTAATAGAAGCCCCCGAAAATATTTTATGCCCCAAATCACTATTAATATGGACAATATGGCCGTTTATTTGATTGGCTTTCATGACTTTTACTGCTTCTCTTGTCGCAATACTCAAACCTAAAACGTTTAAATCGAAAACTGCTTTCCAGTCTTCGGTTTTTCCCCCGGTTAGAGACGAGTCTCGCGTTATTCCAGCGTTATTGATGAGGATGTGGACTGGACCGAGATTTTTGCCAGTCCATTCGAAAACTCGCAAAATGTCTTCTTCTTTAGTAAAATCAGCTTTGATGGCGTGGAGTTTCCCCTTTTTGCCCGAGAGTTTTTTGGCATGGTCTTCGACAAGGTCGGAACGACGAGCGGCCCCAACCACCTATCACATTTTCCAGATTTGATTGTTTTAAAAGTGATAAATAGTCCGGTCAAAATAGACATTTCAAATAACTAAAATTTCAGAGCTAAATTTTGGTGGAGATCTTGGGGACACCATTAGGAATGAAATGTCAAAAGTCCCCATCGATCCCATTTGTGCTAAAAAAGTTATTCGGGGTCAAAAAAAATTCTATCTGTCAAAAAAAATTGACATTTATTTTTTGACATTTGACATTTTTTATGTCTATTTAATGAAACTGATGATTTTGTATATGTTTCTATACAATTTTTTAGTAAAGGTACAAAACTTTTGCCAACAAAAGCCACAAATAACATTGAACAGAGTTACAATTTAGGATACAGCTTCCTTGTTTCCTCTTCTGCCTCTGTGGCAAAAAAACGTGGAAAATTATTTATTCTACAGAAATGAATAGTCAAAGTGCAAAATTTAAACTCTCTTAACTTCGAAATTTTTATAGATAGAAATTTTTTAAATTTTTTCCATGTTCCTGGTACCTTTCTTTGGGGCGCGAGTTCTGGCGCACTCTGTATGTGCATATCATGTAGAATGTGACTCCTTCAACTTTTGGAATCGCGATATCTTAGGAATGGTGATTCTTAGAAAAAAAGTACAGGTCCATTTTTGTAGCTAATTTTAAGATCTATAATTTTTGTCTGGGCTACTTTTTTGATAAAACTTACCGTTTTCGAAAAAAATCTAAAAAATATCAAATTTTAATTTTTTGACCACGAATACTTTTTTAAAACTTTTTTAGCACACATGAGATCGATGAGGACTTTTGACACTTTATTTGTAATGGTGTACCCAAAGTCTCCACCAAAATTTAGCTCTGTTGGAATTTTCGTTATTTGACCACTATTTTTATGACTAATTTGACCGGATTTAAAACTTACGAAAACACCGTGTTCGACGAGTTGGGCGGCTATGGCAGCACCGATTCCTGAACTGGCACCGCTCACTATTGCCACTTTCCCGACCCATTTTGCCATTGAGAGCACCATCTTGGTCTTGGTCTTCACACAAGTAGTGTAAAACGAGCCAACGAATTGATATTTATGGTGTGAATCGTGATTTAGAGAAGATATCAAATTGTCTCAAATAAAACCGAAAACTCATTGTGAAGTGTAATTTTTAAAGCCAGTCATTCCTCAACTTTGTAAACAAGTTACTGTAATTTTAGTCATCTTATCTTAAGTTTTCTAATATTTGCGATTAAAATAAGTACGATATAGAATAAATGTGTAAGATAAAATGAATACAATGATTTTGCACTTAAAAAAAAATAACAATTTTTTTAAATTAGAGAAATGGTGTTTCTATGACCTTTTTTGCGGCCGTAAAGTTCTACTTTTTTGCACACATCTATCAAACTCTATTTTGTTGGGACTGATCTGTCTAAAACACTTTTACCTACCTACACAGGCTGTTCTAGCTAAACCGCACATTGAAGTATGGGAGTTCTAACAATGATATTTATCTAAAATTTTGTTTATAGCCATAATTGGTTAAGTTCTGCTCAATAAAAATATTTTCAAGATGGCGGCACTTCCTGTTACGCCAGAAGTAGATATCAACTTCGTTATTTTAAATATAAAGTTATGTTTTTTTGCGTCTTTGGATTATACTCAAGAGAGAATTTTTATAAGACTTCTCTATACCTAAATTTAACCGTTTTCTAAATGTTTAGACTTTAAAAAAAATTGGATTTGAATGTTCCTATTCAAAAATCGATAACTCTACCATTTTTTATTATGTATACGAGAGAGAAAGGTTAGATTTTTTTTTGGTGTATTCATAATTGAAAAAATAATTAAACAAACCGCCAAAATACATATAAGGTTACGTTTAGGAAACTTCAAATACGTTTAACTATACAGGGTGTTTCACGTTATTTTACGAGGCCTGCGCCTGTAAGATGCAATCAATAATACATATTCCGATACGAACTCGATTACAAATTTTGAAAATTTGGATAATCTTCTCTAGTTTGTTCACCCCTTCAAAAATTATTTTTAATTAGTGATTAAGATAGATAAACTAGAATCATATTCATGCCGTCTCTTGATAGAACAAATGATAGTTGTTTCTGAAAAATTGCAGTTTATGACTATTAATGAAACAGTGATTAGTTTGACAACTATTGTTATGGGTTTCGTAAAGTTATGTGAAACACCCTGTATTTCTAAATGAAACACTCTATTTTTTTTTACTAAATGGAGAAGAATTTAGTTCTGTTTTGCTCTATGTTAACATTTCCTACATCCCATTTTGTTTATTGTCCTTCCTTGACTTGTGCAATGCTTCACACGCTGAACCAACGAGAATTCCTCGCCTGAAGAAGATACAATTAAAGTATCGAAACGTCGCGACGAATTTAATGTTTTTTATTTCCCTGTGTCCTATAAACCATCTTCTACGCAATTAGGCTATTTCTTATACCTATGTTTGATAGTTTTCAAGTTGTAGTATCTTCTTTTGATATTGTGACAAATATCATTAGCACAGGTTGTTATAGTAATAAGAAACAAAAATAGAATAGCAAAGTTATTCAAATTTAAATTAAATAAATTTAATTTGTGTTTACAAAAAAAATAACACAAATGTGAAAAAAAGTTGATGTTTTTTCAGTAAAAAATATTTCCAGGCAAACTATGCGAAAACTACCATAGATAGAAATGAATTTCTTTCATTGTAAAAAAAGTTATAACTTGGAAGTCATTAAATTTAGGTATTGGGAATGATGATACAAATTGATGCAGAATGAAATTTTCTGTTTTTAGTGAAGAAAAAAATTTTGGGCCTTCCATTTGAAAAAATTAGCTACGGGTATTTGAAGTTTCTCAAAAGTAACCTTAAAGTTTGAAGGTTTGTTATTTATTTTTCCAATTATCAATATGTACACGAAAAAAAAGATCTAACCTTTCTATTTCATATGCCCAAATATGATTTCAAAATAATTAAAAATAGTAGTTATCGATTCTTGGAGAGGAAATGCAAATTAAAAAAATTTCGGGAAAAGGCTAAACATTATAAAAACGGTTAAATTTACCTAGGTATAGGGTAGGGAAGTCTGATATATCACTGTTAGAACTCCCAATACTTTTACTGAGGTGAGGTTTAGCCGAAACAGACTGTAATGCGACATGCGATAGATGGACAAAAAAATTTTAGGCGATGGAATATAAGTTTCACTTTAATTAATTTATGAAAAATTTTGTAATGAGCGCCTAAAACACGTTGTGTGTGCCTCATCTGAATTGTAGCCTCGGCCGCAAACAACAGATTCGGATAAAAAACACTTTTACGACTTTTATACGTAAATAATTATTTAAGGATTTTAGGAAATAGTACGTAAAATAATTCTTTTAATTACTTTTACTTAAAATAGTTATTTTAAAGGACTCATCTGCTATTTAAGACTCGGCTTCGCCTCGTCCAGAAACAGTATTTTAAGTATTTGTAACGAAAATATCTATAAACTTCTAACAATCATAAACATTATAAAATCAACTTGTTAAATTTTGAAATTGCCTTTTGACCTGCTTCAGTGATCGAGTTCTTGGAATGTTCTGCCCCATCAGCAAAAATGTATTTCTCTGCAAAATAATGTCCATCGTTAACCAGAACAGTGCATATTGCCGAGTCATGTGACTAAATAGCCAGCAGATTTCCTTTGCATTTCTTCACAGAGAGTTCACTAACATTTCGTCTGAAATAGAGAAAAAAAATATCTTGTGTAACCCTTCAGCGAATCCGATTGAGACGTTTCAAATATTTATATCGACAATTTATTCCCAACATGCAGATGCATAATTGCTAAATGATAATTAGCCTATTAACAATTTAAATGTGAGCAATTTATTTTACTTTGACTTGATAATTGGCCAATAAGTTGGTTTTATCTTCCAGTCCTGGCGTATTTTTCCTTAGTTTTTAATATTTTAGTGAGTTAATTTGTGGATTTGTGATTATCGTCCCGCTTGACCATTCCGTTCGAGTAAAACGCAATTAAGTCATTTTTTCGACTGCAAGTCTTTTATCTTTTATCTCAGACAGTGGCATGGAGCCACTGAACGTTCTTGAACATATGTACACAACAAATAACGAGCAAATATCGCACAGAAGGTCGCTAGTCACCTGCAACGATAAAACTTTAATTAATAGATTAGCAACATGGCCATAATAGCAGGTATTCAGTTATCAAAACTCATTAATTGTAAGATTTTGATTTTTCTAATCGGATCAATTGCTGGCTTTGTAATTACGACGTTCCGTTGCAGTGAAAACGGGACAAAAAAACCAAACGCTCTGTCATTAAATTTCATTACCATATAATAATTTTAGTTTTACAATTTACTGTAAATGAAAAAGGTAAATACGTCACCAGACACTAGTTTAAATGGTTTTTTTGGCCTCCTGACATGTAAATGTCAAATTAACGTACAATTGACACCTATTGAAAGACTGTATTTACAGTCGCCTGAGCATTTTACGCACAGACGAGTGTAAAGTGACAGTTTTACCGCACTGCCAAAATTATCTTCATAGACTTTTATAAAAAAAAACTGTTTGTAAGATGATAACATTTTTAATAAAACGCTCTACACACAACCTTTCAATCTTAGAACTCTTTTTTCTTCACACCACTTTATAATTATAAACACATTGTA